GTGTCACAGTGAAGCAAATACTATGCCCATCTTATACTCCACCACAAGCCAATTCTGTGACTGCTGAAAATGTGGTACAGTCTACACCGATAACTGTATCTTCTGGTGTCAAAGAACAGATTAGAAAAGAGGGAGGAGAAGAAAAAAAGATGAAAGAGAAAACTGAAAAGAAAGGTAATTTTGACTATTAAGCATATTTGACTCTTGATCGGTTTATCAAATGATGTTAACATTTTTGATGCTGATGATAATGGTATCAAACAAAAAGTTGAAACTTATGAACTAGAATAAAATGAGCAACAATATGCTGTTGGGACATGGAAACTTGCTTCTAAAGGTTGTGTGAAAGATCAGCAGGGTGAAGCTGGCCTTCCAGGCAGAGGGACCAGCTTAAGTAAAAACAGAGATGCAGTGTAGGAAACCATACATACTTTGGTATGACTGAATTTTGGTGAATATTTGGGGCATAATTTCCCGGTGTCACAGATAAGATGGTAGCTTCAAACCAGTTGTGAAGATAGGCAAGAGATAGCAGTCAAAGCGTGTTGTCTGAACTAAGGCACGAGGTCTTAAGTTTTTGGAACTCATAGAACTTACATCGTAAATAGAATCACTGTCTACTTAGACAGCCATGCTTGAGATCATGCAGTCATCCTAATCTGTCCCTCTTTCTCCATCTTAATTAAGCAACCAGTCTTACAGTTCCTATCACCAAATAAAATTAGAATTCAGTTCTGAACTTGTTAAGTGTTAGTCGAAATTCTTTTGATTTATTTCATCTGAATCAGTATTAAAACCTCATCTTTTCTGCTACCTTGATACTAAAACTGTTTTTTCCCTTTCAACTATATTCCACATTTTTCCCCCCTTGGTACCGGGGATCGAACTCTGTCCCTTGTGCTTGCGAGGCAGGCGACGGAACCACTGAGCCAAAAACCCAGCCCTATACTCCCCTTATTATTAGAATTCATTTTTACCAGATATGTCTAAACAAGTGCTTTTTAAATTTGGTATACAGACCTTGCATTATGTTCATAATTGCCTTTTGTGGTTGTTTTTTTCAGTGTAGTTTGTTGTTTGGAAAATAAAAAAATGTCTGAGGGATTTGTGAACCAGCCTAAGCCAGTTTAGCATGGCTTACTTGTCAGTTCCTTTAGGTTAATCTGTAAGTAGCTTCATGAGTTAGAAAGAGGTAGATGCTGTTATGTTCTCTTATGTAACTTCACCACTAGGTGGTATGATTGCAAAGAAAGCAAAATCCACTTCTTTATAAATTTTATTAAGAAGTAGAAACAAAAGAGTCGTAGAGCCCATTCTTACAGGATGTGTGTTGTCCGTCTTCTGAGGAGAGGCAGTGTTGTTCTGGTTGTGGGACTAATCAGCCTTCTAGCTCCAAGTGACAGCATCCTTTAGAGGAAGGGAAAGCACGGAACCCAGGGAGCCTCGGTCTGGAGCATCTGTGTCTGGGGAACTCCCTGAGGGGCAGAAGAGCATCACGTCTGCCTGGCTCAACAGGGGAGCCAAAGTCTGCTTGTGGCTGTTGAGCTTTTAAAATGTGGTCAGCATGACTGAAGAACAATTTCTAATTTAGTTGTGACAATTTAAAATTTATGTGAGTGGTTATATGTGGCTGGCACATAATGCATTGAGTAGTGCTGGTTACACAGGACTGTAGCATATAGCTTGGGTATAGGATCGCCACTTTGGATATTCTATTCCTGCACAGGCTTGAGTCCCCATATGGCGTTTCTTCAGTACCTCACACACATCTTGAGCATTATTCATTTGTCAGTGAAACATTTTTAAAACCTCTTTCCATAACAAAGCTTGTGTTATAGATTTTCATTTTTATAATCACTTCTGAAATGTGGATTCCTAATAAAGATATTTCAAATGTCTCCAAAGTAAAAGTTTAAAAAAATATGGCTATAGATTATGTTATAAATATATATAGGTAATCACACAAAGATAATTTAAGATTTGGTAGCTGGGCGTGGTGCTGCACACCTGTTATCTCAGCACTCTGGGAGGCTGAGGCAGGAGAATCAAGATTGAGCCCAGTCTGGGCAATTTAGAAACTTAGTAAGACTGTGTCTCAAAATAGAAACTGAAAAGAGCTGGGGATGTAGCCTTATATATATATATATATATATATATGTAAGATGGCCACTTCTGAGAGATCCTAGAAGTAGGGTAATATGCTTTATCAGTGAAATCATATTTCACTATAGTTTAGTCTACATCTGCCTATTTTTTTATTACATCTGACTATTAATTAGGTTGTATTTTCTAAATAAAGGATTTTCATCTTCAAAAGAACCCAGTAAAAAATTTTAAATATATATATATATATATATGTAAGATGGCCACTTCTGAGAGATCCTAGAAGTAGGGTAATATGCTTTATCAGTGAAATCATATTTCACTATAGTTTAGTCTACATCTGCCTATTTTTTTATTACATCTGACTATTAATTAGGTTGTATTTTCTAAATAAAGGATTTTCATCTTCAAAAGAACCCAGTAAAAAATTTTAAAGGATTTTTCTAAAGCTGTGTCCCAGAGAAAGGCAAACTTTTAAAAGTAAAAGGCCATTGAGTGTGTGTTAGCCTTGGGGCCACAGAGTCTTCATCACATCCACTCAGCTGTGCTGTAATGCCTGGTGTCCCCCGGTGCCCGTCATCCCTCAGTGCCCAGCTTCCAGAGATGAGAGTGCGTGAACATGGATTGTGTTCCAGGAAGACTTTACTTACAGAAATACACAGCAGGTTAAGTTGAGCCCATGATCCATAGTTTGCCAAGCTCTGTATCTATAATGAGAAATGTAGATGGTTTTTCATGCTTGATCTTAGCCAAAAGGTCGAGAAGCGATTATAGATGGTTTTCAGAGGAATAGCTAAAATAATATTTGAGGTTTGAGAACTTAAGTAATTCTTTGTTTTTAAGTGAAGATAGGGGTGAGCATTATAATTTGTTTTCTGTTTAAGGTCGTTAGTGTTGCTGCCGCGCATTATAATTTGTTTTCTGTTTAAGGTCGTTAGTGTTGCTGCCGCGGGTTTCTCATAGCAGTTTTGATTTAGTCTGATGGTTGCCCCTTGATGAATACCTTTTAGGAGAAAAGAAGGAGAAAAAGCAGCTGCCTGCAGCAGGAAGTGCTGACTGTAAGCCAGTAGATGTTTCCCGGCTGGATCTTCGAATTGGATGCATCCTGAATGCCAAAAAGCACCCTGATGCAGATTCTTTGTATGTAGAAGAAATAGACATTGGAGAAACAGCCCCAAGAACAGTTGTCAGCGGCCTGGTGAATCACATTCCTCTTGAACAGGTAGAGTGTATGCCTAAAATTACAACTGCATGGGTATGTCACCTTCCTACCCTCGTTCTTGATGTCTTTACTTTACAATTTTGTCTCAGATGACCAAATGATGTAAGCTAATACTGATTAGTACAAATGATTAGTCTGTGAATTCCACAAAAAAGCTGAACTAATCATGGTGGTGTACAGCTCTAATCCCAGTACTGATAAAGGCGGAGGCAGGAGGATCTCAACTTGAGGGCCACCTTGGGCTACATGAGTTCAAGGCCAGTCTGAACTAGACAGTGAGAACCTGTCTCAGAAGAAAAAACCTGTAAAACCCTGAAAAAGATCTATAAATTAAAGTAGAATTCATTAGAATAGAAAGTAAAAGATGTATTATTTTTAAACGTTTTAATTTTGTATAAG